AGGGAAACAAGGGAGTAATGAAGTAAAAAAGAAGTGAATGCAAGGAATAGATCTTGTGCAGCAAGAAAAAGGACTCTCTGTGACAGGGTGTTGTCCCTTGTTTCTCGATTAGTTGAAAAAAATCCGGTAAATCAACTTTTACAAAAAGAATCTATCATTTAGCAAAGGGATTGAGATCTAATGGTAGCCTTGGCGTACTTGCCGCGTTTGAATCCAGGAAGTAGATGAGGGGAAAAGACTTCCTTTCTTACTGGAAGAAACGATTTGTTAATGTACAGTACAATGAAGGCAAAAGCTAAGCACCTGATAGCGGCAGAAGTGTAATGACCAGCCGTTCGGTAGTGTCTGCCCCAGTCGAAGGCGTCCTGATTCAAGGAGAAGTACTCGAGTATGCTCAGAATCGGGTACGGTAGTCCGCGTAGGTACGCCGATCGCAACTCTTCGGTCATCGACGAAACTGCAAACAATACAAAGATCAGACGAGTACCAATAGAAACTCTTACGGCAGTTTCGCTTGGGTTTGGTCAGTTCACACAATTTCTTAATTTTAGTGTTTGATCGAGGTGTTTAGAGCAGAAATCATCGAAAAAATGGAAGCAAGACCGAATCCTTATAAATACTTGTTGATCTCCTTTTAGGTAAAGGGCTAACGCTTTGGAAAGCACCATTAGGCGAGGCACACTCACGTCCTACAAGCGCAAGATTGGGACAGGTAGATGAACGAGGACTGAGTGCATGTTTGGGCAGTATTCAAGCTTAGCCTTGCAGAGAACAGAATCAGTTTCGCCTACAGAGGGCTGCCAAACCTGTATGTGCAGAACAATTTCGACATTCTTCGTGAGGAGAGATCCTGGGTGCAGGAGGAGCAAACCTGGAGTCTCTTTCGCCCTTTTCCACATAGGATCAGAAGAACAATCTGTTAACTTTCGAAATGGGCAATGCAGTCGCCTTCCATTCAGTTAGGATCGGCTCTGCTTTTCGAGCCGCCGTCTAGCCTTTAAGGGAAGTCCAGGACCATTTTGACCTAGGAGGCTTAGTTACTTGTGAATTTCATCCATAATTCACTTCGACGCTGATCAATCGCTCTGTGGGATGTGCCAGGTATTTCACTTCCATTCAGTATCTTCATTGAATGCTGTGTAGCCTACGCTGTGTAGCCTACACTATGGCTTACTGAACCTATCCAATGCGCGTCTTTTTTTCAGAAGAATAGCTCGAATAACGTGGGTGATATTCCATGAATGGTCTGATCTCCGGAGCGCAGGACTCTTTGGTGATTGGCTCTTTTAGTACTACACCACCCCACTCTGTTCCATAAAGATTACCGAAAAAGGTAGGAGCACAAAATTGAGAAGCAGAGAATCATGACTTTCAGCGCGCTAAGGTCGCTAAAGTACCGGGAAACGTTCTATAGGAAAGTAACAAACCTCCAGAGATGTCGAAATTCTCGTTGTAATAGAGTCGACTCATGTCTATCCGGGACCCTCCGTCATCCTGTTGCACCATTTCTTCAACTGAAAACAATTATTTAAATTTTCCGAGACAAGTTTCTGAAGTGATCAGTAAAAATCCTACATCGAAGAGTGATGTTGATGCTCGTAAGGCCAACGTTAACACCCACACGCGCTCGCATTCTTTCGTTGACGTGAGACCTTAAGATGTTGAAGTTGAAGTCTTATGTCTTTTCAAGGAAACCATGGCCAGCAGTAGTCACTTACCTAAGTTGAGAGAGAATCCTTGCAGAACCTCCGGTCCATCCGGGCAGGCATAGCGAGGCTGAAAACCCGTGCGTTGCAACGAGATTCGTGATTTGCTAGAAATTAGGACCTACCTGCCAGAATTGCTCCCGTCAGCGTGACTATGGTAATAACAGCCAGCGTCACTATGCGCTTCTCTCGAACTCCAGGAAGAATTACCAGGAATGCCAGATATGGAACGACAAAAATTGCCGAGATCTGAAAAATCCATTTTTTAAGCCGTCCTAAACGACATGGTAGCCTACACTGGCTTCTCAATGGTTACTCACAATGACCGCCTGCACATTGATGTTGGGCATTTCGGCGGTGGCATAGTCGGACGGTTCGGCAAAACCACCAAACCAGCTTGTCCACATCGGTCTGAAAGACATCTGATCTCAAAAGAAGGACTGCGACACTGAGGCTCCGGGAAGGCGTCGCGATCGGGCGGAGGCGAATTGCCCGTTATTGGAATTCCAGGGTTAATGACACATTCAATAAGGGAACGATTTGCATATTCCAACAAAAATGAATTCAATATTGCAACTGAGTCAGATTGGAACGTGATGTGAATCAGGCTCAATGGTGAGGAGGTGTCGTTTTACGTGCGTCGGCAGTGCGTTTACGCCCTAGTTCGGTTGAATATTTATTTAGTAAAGGCGAGAGCAGAGAGTGAAGCATTGGAATAGAGAGCGAGAATGGTAGAGATACCGGTACACCGAGTGATAGGTAAACAGTTGCTTTGTTATGTGCGATGGTTGCTCGATGGTGTAGATCTTTACTTTCGGAGCAGCGACTGAAAGTCATACAGCAGGACCTTTGCTTGAATGAGCGAGCCTTCACTTGTTGCGCAACTACCTACCATGTTTTCCTTCGACCCACCGCCCACGCCACTTTGGTGGGCGCCCTTCTGCCCTATCGGCCCACAAAATCTCTGACGTCTCGTCGGGTGCGAAGTCGCATGTCTAAGTTGTCATTTTGTCACGCATATCTTTCGTTTCCTCAAGAACCTGTTCGTTGAAGTCGCAACTACATATTTTCCCACAGGCACATTCCTCGAATACAGGGCATTTGTAACGAGGCTTAAAGCAATAAAATGACCTGTGACTCGACCATAACATAAGCACAGAAAGGAACTTTGGCAACGACCAAATTAAGGCTTTACCGTATTCGACTGCAGCCATTGTACGTGCCTACGGCGAGGAAAGTATGCGATCGGACGAGAGGTTCTTACGAAACGGATGAAGTTAGAGACAGGGGATTCGCGACCTGAGAAGGGGGGAGGGGCTCTCAGGACATGGAGCGCTTTTCAAAATGCTTCTCTGAATTTGTAGAGGCTCATGTGAGGAACACAGAACCATGGTCCATTTTTCCTGAACGCCCCAGGAATGTCAAAACAGCGGGGAAGAAATGGTCCAAAGTTCGATCCTCCGTGATGACAAATTTTTGCAATTTATGTTGGCGCCTCCAAATTGCCGCAAAACACGACAATGACATCTATTCTCGACGATGGCGCCATTTGGCGGCAATCTGGGGCGCCAAACTATATTGCAAAAATTAGTCATCACCGGGGATCGAACTCTGGACCATTTCTTCACCACTGTTTTGACATTCCTGGAGGCGTTCAGGAAAAATGGATCATGGTTCTGTGTTCCTCGCATGAGCCCCCACAACATGCAGAGAAACCATTCACAAAAACGCCCCAGGTCCTGAAAGACCGAGGACAGGACGTAGGCGGGGCTGACGACGGTTGAGGCTCAATATTGTTGCTCCTGAATCAAATTCTACCATAGTGATGCCAAATATCACTTCCTCTATCACCTAATAGAGTATTAATGGACTGGCACGTTGAGCAAGTTTATCGTGATATGTACCTTTAAGTTCTACCACGGTATGGTTCCAGCTCAAGAGTAGATTGTGCTAGTAGTAACTAGCGATAATTACTGTACTGTAGTATGTACTAAGAGTGAGTAATTAGCGAGGGAAATCACTTCTTTGGGCATCCTTCAAAGATACCGGCGATTCAGCACTACTCGATGGCTCCTAAGCCGCTTAACAACTGGTCAAAACTGCTTAGCGCCCGATTTCCGCTATTTGTACGAAAATCAAGATGAAAGCAGTAAACTCGCAAACATTTGCCTGGTACGCCAATGAATCAGAGAAATAGGCAGTAGACATGTGGGAGGGTGAAAAATGGACCCCGAGAAAGAAGCAAAAAGTCAGTTCTGTGAGTTACCCAGAGCAATAAAGTGTACGGGAATTTCGAGAGGTGTTGAGCGTGATTGGAATGTGCTTTGCGGCAAACTCAGACGCACAAGTTTCATCAAGATAACGAGGTTCCAAGGACAGCAAGTGCTTCGCTGTATTACACGGAAGGTAAGACACCAAAGAATGTGCTTCCCAACCACATCAACAGCTGTGGAGACGCCCATCCAACTGTGGAACGGACTAACTCGAATAAAATGATCTGACAGTAATATGAGGAGGTCTCTTGGAAATGCCAGCTGAGAAATGGCGGGTGATGGAGACGGTGGAACCGAGTTGCGAGGCAAATTTACCTTGACTATTCAATGAGAACGAGGAAACAATGATGGATGGATGAAATCGAGATTGTCGCTCACCCTAAGCAAGAGACTCACCCCTGAAAAGCTCTCTCAGACGGAAAAAACGAACTGGTTCTTCTCTGAGAACGACATTTACAAAATAAACCATGAAAAGAAAACAAAAACAGCCAACTTGTGGTCGTCGCATAAAAGCAAAGAACGTCAATAGGTGAGCGAAAATCGTTCAGGAAAAGAAAAGAAGTGAAGTGATCGTCCCTACGAGCTCCGAAAAATAGACGTCTAGACTTCTTCCGGTTCCTTAAAAAGGCCAACTGATTGTGATTGTTGTTATTTGAGTTAGCTAGGTCAGCCGTGTGAGTCACAATGTACAGAGCGAGCAAATTCTTTGCAAATTTGCGAAACCTTTGAAAAGAGGCTCTCCGGACATCTGTCAACCGTGAGGCTAGGCAATTCAGCGTTTTGTTGTGCTGTCTGGGAGCTCTCACACAAGCGCACTATTACAGAATCTCCGCTTTCTTTACCTCCTTCAAAAGGCTTAGTCCCACTACCACAAAGAACGTCTGCTTTTCCTTCTACACTCTCACCCCCTGGTTGACAGAAGCCTTGTAACCTGAAAAAAGTGCTATCTGTGACGTTGCCAGATTTCTTATTGCAAACAAAGGCGGTGCTGGTTAATCGCTATGATAGTATCTTTAGCCAGGGCACATGTTTGACTGGTCTGGAAGCCGTCTGTTTCTCTCCTCCCATAAGCGAAACGAAACACGACCATCAGATGACATGTAGACAGTGAAACGCTACCAATCAAGTGGACGAACTGATGATGTGGCAGAAACGCGTGGCCGTTCCGGCGAGGACCGTACGGCGACAGTGCGGCTGTGGCGATGTAACGAATGCGTTTACGGGCCTTGTGACAACATTCCATTAGATCTGCCCATTACGGCTGCCACCGACGATCAAGAAGATATTACACTGTTATTCTGACCTCTGCGGGATGAGATCACAAAGCCGGTTCGCCGTAGCATCATCGTCTCAGCGAAATCCGCAGATTCGAACCGAAAAACGTGTCGGCGAGCGTGTTCTAGACCCATGCGAACTCGAGGTCTCGTTGATTCGGGCAAAAGCATCAACCCGAATTTGAAAGGTTGTTTACAGGCGCATTCCTCGATCACCTAGATGTGGTTGTTGCGCTCGAAAATTCAAGTGGAGGTGCGCCAGAGAAGAAATAGGAAGCTGCCGAAAACGCTCGAAATAAGAGCCTTCTTCAAAATATGTGAACCACTTTACGGAAGAGCAGCTACAGGGACCCTGAGTAACGAAGGAAATAGTGTGGGGACGAGCTAGACTCAGACTTCAACGCATTCGCAACTGTGGGAGGTCAAAACCTCAGAGAGTGGCTGGAGCCCTAGCAGCATGTGCCGAGAAGTCATTACCACGCGTTTCGGATCGCAATATTGGCACTGCCCCTGCTGCTGCAGACACTGCTACCTCACTTATGGTAATGAACGATTCAGTAGAACATATCACGGAACGTGCCTTTAAGTTTGGACGATTAAATCTATAGCAGCTGTGGGGAAATATCTGATTACAATGAAACGAGGCTTATCACGTAACGCCTCGGGTCAGTCGAGGTGATACGTCACCGGGAAATCATCCGAAATTATTTGTGCTGCTCCATACTTCGCAGAAATATGTAAACAATCGAAGGGTTTCGCACCGATAGCCCGAAAAAGGAAAGCGAAAACAAAAGTCGATCAGCGCTGATAACCGCCGTAAGGGCGATATCAGCGAGAATCGGGAAAACTTTCAAAGGCGTCTGAAACGCGATTAACGATTTCCTCTATGAAAACAACGCATTCCACTCATTTCCGATGAGGATACCTCCTTGAAGAAGAAGACTGCTATTAAATAGTTCGCTGAACCAACTTTAAAAAGGATGGAGATTACGAGAACTTTTCCTCAACAATTCTCCCTCCGACATGCAAATTTGATAGTAACTGCCAACAAGTATGCCCACTTGTCACCTCAAATTCTATACAAAAGGATAAAGCGTGCGAGGAGGGAATCACAACGAGCGAGCGATATGGTCTTTCGATCAGAGAAGACGGTGGTAGTTGAGAAATCGCGTGTTGTGACTTCAGGAGTGCAGTGCCATCTTCCATTTTCATCTATTCACTTGAGGATGTATGAGGAAGACCTGTTTGAAGAAGGCGATTCCGAGGATATCGTTTGGTTTGCTATCATCAATCCAAGTTTCTCACAAAATTAACCCTATGTAACAGTTCCTGAGAGCGTGGCATAGACTGGTGGTCATATCGGTTGATGGAGATTCGGTCTGGCGCTGAGTTGAGCTACTTCCGGAGTCACACTTTGCTTTCTCATAGCGATACGATAGCAGAAAGTGTCCAACGGCTAGTCACTGCCATGCTGCAAGGACCAAATCACTGATCGTATCGCGCTAAGGTCTACCTAAACTTCATCCTCTCCCACAAAGGCCATTAATGCTGGAACTCTTATTCGTCTTCTCCCTCAGATGGTTCCGCGCAGCGCAGGGTCTGCTGTCTTTGTCAGCCGTCGCCACGGAGTTCTATTCCGGGCATCTCTTGTCACAGTGCTGACTTCAGTGAGGTCTTTCTTGATGGCGTCTCTGTAGACATAATTTTGGTGTGAGGCCTTCATTAGCCAACCTCTCACCCTGGGCCTGACGCTGGTTCCAGAAGTGCAGACGCTCCTAACAAAACGGCCATCCCTGCCGTTCAATGATCCTGGAATTATCTATTATCTATGATGTATTTATCTTAACTTGGTCATCGGCTGACCGGTAAGTCGCTACTGTAGACCAAATCACGTCTAAATGGGTACCATGTGGAATGTTAGTCCTAAAAAGATCAGTATAATGACAGACTCAGTCACTATGAAAGGATGGACTGACTATCCATCTCCACTGCTCTCTCCTAATCGAAGTTAAAGGATACATGGGAGGATGGTGTTACAGGTGGTGGGAGGAAATTTGATGAATGATTGAGAAAGCCTCAAGGAAACTAGAAATCACTTGTTCAAATCCTCGAGAAAGTAATGCGTTTAAGCTGTACATGGAACCCTACCTTGCCAGCTGTGCCAGCTACAATTTGGACCTTATTTTCTAAGAATAGAACGCAAAGCTTGTAACTACTACCAATAAGATGGAACACTAGCAAACGAAACTTTACGAGTTATAAAAAGACAAACACAGTTTGCGCTTCTACGAATTTACCTTGCTACGTAATTCTTCTGCTACTGTTTTTCCTACAATGAAGATCGTTGCTTCAGACCCAGTATGTGGATATAGGATATCGAGTAAGCGAGAGCGAAGTCAGTTGCGTACACTTGAGTTAATGAGGTGATATGCATGCTGCTCCCTTGAAAGGAGATTAAGCGATAAGTCGGAACGGTCGATGAAGGGAAACCTAGACAAAAGACAGACTTGGCGAGAAGACAGGCAGATCTTATAAGGATGCGAATCGATATGCAGTTGAGCGGTAGGAGATATGCCCAGCGAATCAGCATGGCCCTGCCGCGGCGCTATCGGTGTGGGACGCCCACCGGCTGGCTAACCACTCGCCTCGCTGTCGTCTTCCAGCAAGTGTTGGTCCGATTAGGAGCGTTAGCATGAATTAGGGCAAGGAGCGGAGATGATAGAATCGCATCAAGGTGCGGACAATTCGTAAGAGTGGTCTATTGTAAGGGTCCTCGGCCGTTTCTCATGGTTTTTTCTATCATCTACGGCACATTTTTTTACCAGTCATTGATGATTCTAATGGGATTTGCCTTTTATTGCAATAAAACTCCGCCTTTAAGATGACGCTTTGCAATTTAAACGAAAACCCGCGTGGAAAATACTCTGACTCATGCTATACAGGGGGGCCAAAAAAAAAAAAAGAATTTGCCTAGTGTACGCAATTTCGTGAATCGATTTAATGTTGGATAGTTTTCTAGAGGCATTAGCTACCACTGTGCAAATCCCCTCGGAACTAGCTTTCCAGTAAGGGTCGTTATGGTACACGATCCTTCGAAGACCCCATTGAGATCGACCAGTGCACCATGTTTCCAGGGCTAATTCTTCTGATGCCGTCCACGTACGTGGCCACTATGAAGATTTTCTTATAGAATGGAATGCACTCTTTAATAATAAGTTGGAACCGTTCGGTCTGAGTTGAGTAAAATGTGCTTAAATCCATCTGGAAGTGGAGGCAAAATGTCTTTTTTTTTGCCCCCCCCCCCTGTAATGTTTTTGCGAAAGAGCCCTCGATTGCAAATGTGGAACTTTATGTAAATGGCGAAGTTAACGAGTTCACAGGCTAAGCTCAACTGTAGTTGAATTGCCTAGATAAGCACCACCTTGAAGGAATCAAGTTAGCATAATAGTTAACTCAGCAGTAGCTAAGTGTATGAGTTACATAGAACCCTTTCATTGGTTGCATCCAACTATAATAATAGCACGTTTGGATTATGCTCGTCATCACCCACGTTGCTCTGTTGAACTATTCAATTCATTGGGAGTGGTAGGTGATGAGCTCCAGGTCTGATCATAAGCCGACACACCACAGTATCAAATCATCGTATTCAAAGAGTACTGTCCGAATTTGCGCCTCCCATTAACAATTCCGAAATCCTCCTGTTAACCTTCAAGTAAACTAACCATAAGGAATTCACTCTAATGTAAGAATATCCTAAAAAGTTAGATATGGATGTAGTTATCCTTAGCTATTTTTTACTTGTTGCTAAGTTCAATGGTTTGGATCTGGTCTTTTTACGCACTATCTTAATGTTCGACGGCATGTCTGTTCGACGTACTAAACAATAAACACCAAACAATAAGGAACGGGCGATGGCCCCGCTCACCACAATACTTGGTGGCAGCCCAAAGGTGACAAATAAATCAAATCAAATTTTCTTGTCGTAAAGCTGTCGACAATCCCATAAGAAATTGCGACAGTTGTCGATCATAACCGTGACTGCCCATATGAGAGGATAAAAACGAAGTAGGCGCCATAGATGTGGAAACGGATTCTGCGGAGGAAACGGTTCCAAACGCATGCCATCATGACGTATTGCGCCATCACTCTCAAACCCAATAATGGAGTCGACGTTTTTAT